TTTTTTTTTTTCAACATTTATTTATTTTTGGGACAGAGAGAGACAGAGCATGTACGGGGGAGGGGCAGAGAGAGAGGGAGACACAGAATCGGAAACAGGCTCCAGGCTCTGAGCCATCAGCCCAGAGCCTGATGCGGGGCTCGAACTCACGGAGCGCGAGATCGTGACCTGGCTGAAGTCGGACGCTTAACCGACTGCGCCACCCAGGCGCCCCTACATGTAGTCATTTCTGTTGGGTACATACTTAGGAGTGGAACTTTTGGAACTGATTGTATGCATATGTTAGCTATTTTTTTTTTTAAGTTTACTTATTTTTGAGAGAGAACACAAGCAAGGGAGGGCAGAGAGGGGGTGGGGGGAGAGGGAGAATCCCAAGCAGGCTCTGCACGGACAGTGTGGAGCCTGACGCAGGGCTCAATCCCACAAACCTTATAAGGTCACAACCCAAGTTGAAATCAAGAGTCGGATGCTCAACCGACTGAGCCACCCAGGCACCCCTTCAGCTTTCCTAAATACTGTCAAAAGGCTTTCCCAAAGTGTTTGTACCAATTTACACTCCCATCAGTATTTGATAGTTTTGTTTGTTCACTTTAGCCAAGTTTTGATACTCTTTTTAAAAAAATGTTTACTTTTCTGGTCATTGTGTAGTGTTACCCTCTTGTGATTTTATTTTGCATTTCTCTGATGACGAAGCTGAACACCTTTTTAATGTTTATTGGCCATTTATATATGATCTATGCCTTCCTTTGTGATTTGACTGCTGAAGTCTGTCATCCCTTTCTGTTGGGTTTTCTGCCTTTTTAAAAATTGATTTATATAAATTCTTTAGGCATTCTTTATCAAGAACCTTTATGAGTTATATGTCTTGCAAATATCTTCCAGCATGTAGCAGTTGACCCTTGCAATAGCCACTGCTCATTGACAGTTCAGCTTTCCCTGTTGCAGTGTCACCTTTGACACAGTTTAGGTGATTGTATATGTAAGGACCTCTTTTGAATAGTTATAGTCCTATAGTAGAGGTATGTATAAAGTGCTGTGGGATAAAAAGAAGAGATAGTAAAATGACTTTGCGTTTTATAGGCTTAAAAGGAGATCATACTTGAGCGGCTTCAAAAGGATGGGTAGGAATTTGTCAGGTTGACTTGGTTGGTAGAAGGATATTTTTGTTTTTTTGGGGGGGGGGGTTTGTTTATTTTGAAAAAAAAGACAGTGAGGCGGGGGGAGGGTCAGAGAGAGAGAGAATCCCAAGCAGGCTCTGCATCATCAGTGCAGAGCCTGATGCAGGGCTCGATTTCATGTAGTGTGTGTGAGATCATGACCTGAGCTAAAATCAAGAGTCGGACGCTTAACAGACTGGGCCACCCAAGCACCCCGGTAGAAGGGTGTTTTAAGCAGAGGAAACTTGATGTACTAAAACCCACAAATATGAATGTTGGTATGTTGGGAAGTTATAACTAATATGAAGGGTATATGTGGAATAATACTGAAGAATAGGGCTTGAAAGGATAGGATAAATCCAGACTGTAAAAAGCTTTGGCTATCAGGCCAAATAAGGAGTCTGAACTTCATTCATCTCATGTGATGGACCTCAGTGGTAGTGATTTAAATAAGGGCTGACATGATCACATTTTTGTTTCTTAAAGTGGCTTCAGGAAAAGTGTAAACGAAGTGGAAGGAGAGAAAGACTAGAGGCAGGATGATGAATTAGGAATTTATTCAAAATTAGGGATGATGTGGCAGTCCTGTGGAAATGGGAAATAGAACCCAGATCCTAGGGACCACGTAGAGAGATAAAATAGGAGCTCTGGTACTCAGTTGAACTTTGTGTTTGAAGAAGGGGCAGTTGAAGATTCCTAGGTACTAGCAGTTCTCCTTTTTATATTTTATATCATGGAATTTTTTTATACACCAAAAATTTCTCTTTTGGTTACATATTCTAAAGAATAGAATTAGACTATATATAATATGAACGTATTGTTATTTGACATTCATTCATCGATGCATAATAAAAGTATAGTGCCAACTTGATTTTGGTATAGGTTTATGATCATAGTTTTGTATCACTGCCTAAGACGTTTTTATTTAAATACCTTTGCCATTTGGTTGCCTAGTTGAAAATGTTCTTTGGCTATCAATTTTTATCAAAGATTAGTACTTAGGATACATTTTGGAGTTATTGAATATTCACATTTAGACTAAAGATATGATCTAATCACAACATAATTCTTAAAGCTATTCTTTAAGAGCTATCTTTTTCAGTATACATGAAATTAAAGAAAACAGTGCCCTCTAATGAATGTTAAGTGATGGAATTTTTATTATGGTTGAGTGTTCCTACTCATCTTCCTTGGTTTTTGATCTAAAATGGCTTATAGATTTCAGTAAATCATGCCAGCTCTATTTGGTTTCTACTAATGCAGCCTTTTCATTATTCATCTACTTTGCTAAAGCATGATTTATTTTTATTTATTTATTTTTTTTAATTTTTTTTTTCAACGTTTTTTAAATTTATTTTTGGGACAGAGAGAGACAGAGCATGAACGGGGGAGGGGCAGAGAGAGAGGGAGACACAGAATCGGAAACAGGCTCCAGGCTCCGAGCCATCAGCCCAGAGCCTGACGCGGGGCTCGAACTCACGGAGCGCGAGATCGTGACCTGGCTGAAGTCGGACGCTTAACCGACTGCGCCACCCAGGCGCCCAAAGCATGATTTATTTTGAAGTATATTAGAAAATTATTCTTCAGTACCCTAGGTTTATGTATGAAAGGGAAGGGTTAGGGAATGGATGGAAAGGAGATGGGAAAAGAAGCTATTCTTCACATGTGTTAGAGCTCATGTTTCCATGGATAATATACTCGTTAAA